GCCGCTGCTGCTGCTGCTGGCCTGGGCTGTGGCGGGGGCCCAAGGGCAGGGGCCCCTCGAGTTCCCTCACCCCATTGTGAACCTGTCCGTGAGCGGGGAGCGCTTCCTGGTGGCCAGCGGCAACTGCTGGTACGAAGTGGCGCCTTCGCTGGCATGGAAGGAGGAGCGCTACTGCCAGCCGGGGGAGAGCTCCTGCGGGGAGACGGTGCTCTCGGTCAACAAGCTGCTGCTGCCCTTCGGCCGCGACCGCCTGCTCACCTGTTGGACCCAGCCGCGAGGCAGCTGCTACAAGCAGGAGCTCACCAACGGAAGCCTTCCGCCGCCGACGGAGAAGTGGGGCGAAGAACTGGTGAGCTACGTGCCGCGGGGCGCCGCGGCCGGGCTGATGTATTGCGACGACAATTGCTCACACTGGTCCCTGGTCGTGGCTACGACCCATATGCTGAACAACTGCCGCAGCGATGCCCCCCCGGCGAGTATCGCCAACAAGGCGGCCTTCCTCATAAAGGAAGGCGAGAAAAGCGTGCCCGAAGACAAACAGCTGGCCTTGCAGGGGGAGCATCGCCTGTACTTCGAGGATGCCTTTCGCTGGCAGGAGTACTTCTTCTTCCCTTACTATCATTACGATTCCAGCGTGGAGGCCAAGATGCTCATCGCCCTGCACGAGCAAAACACCTTCAAGCACAACAGCCAGATCTTGCAATGTGGCGGCGGCAGCAAGACCAAAGTTCTGTCATCGGCGTACCTGGAGCAGCGCGCGCTCTGGGCCGGGATTTTCGGCTCAGCCCCCGGCCCCGCCACGCCGGCTTCCACCGCCCTCTGCCTCTTTGCTCTGCAGGACTTGCTGAAGAACGCGGAAAGCTGCAAGTTCAGAGGGTCCTCCGAGTTCGTTTCGGAATCCAGTCCTCCAAACACATGCGTGAGTAGTTTGGGTTATTTGTTGGCCAGCTGCCAGGCTAAATCAGATCGATTTATGGCAGGCTGTTTCATTGTTACAAGCTATGTATTTATCAGAGGCAGGACCCCCAAAAGATACAGAACATTTTGGCAGACCGCTTTCCAAAAAAAACCATAGCATTTCAACCTTAGCAAGCAGATCACATTGGTCAACTAAAACTGAAACGAAAGTTTAGCGTTTCCCGCAGGATAGCTCCATCGTGGGGTTGGGTGTCTTTTCGGAAGGGGCGATTCGCTGCTGTATTTTGCAGTGATCAGACACAATAGTCAAAAGTTATTTCAGATTTTTTATTTTTTCTCCACAACGCCCCTGTTTACTTCTCCATTGGCTTCAGTGAAAAAACGAAACAACCAATGGATCCTTTATGCAATGAGAAGAAAGCGGATGGTTTCTCAAATGACTATGAGACTCTGGGATGCTTTAAAGGATATCATTACCTCCTTTATGAGGGGAGGGGGGGCAGAGAAAGAACAAACAGCTGGGAATCAAATTCCATGGATGAGGTCAGGCAGTTGCATGGTAAAATTCATTTAGAAAAACCTTGGCATTCATGCTTGAACCTACTAGGTGGTCCAAGGCAAAGGTGTAAGACTTCAATTATTTTATATCTTATTTTTCCACTAATGAATAATGCTCATGTCTCCTGCGCCCAGACTGTATTCAAATCGGATGGACTGAAAGCAATTATGTCTCTCTTTAATGGTGGAAAGCTATGAGCAATCAAGTATTGATTGACTCTACAGGGCACTAGGATTGCTGGGTCTTGACTGGTATGGCTGACACTGTTGTAAGAATCTTCTTCAGTTGCAGAATGAAATAGTAAATGTGGGAGCTTCTGAGTGAGCTTTTATGCTGCTTCTATTATTCCTTGGAGTATCTGTGAATTCAAAGTGATAACATTGTTTAGAATGGCAGTGGTAGAAAGTATTTACTAAATACAACTGATAGTAAAAAGATTCATTATCCAGTTTAATCTGTGTGATGATAGTAGTAGAACTGGGGAAAAAATGTTTTTTTCCCCCCCTCAACTATGAATCCTCTTTAAGTTGGCATGCTTTTCAAAGGGTGGGTGATCTTCTAAAACAGAAAAGAACAGCCTGTGACAATTGGCCTAGTTTTAAAAACTCCCTGCAAGAGATAAATTCAGACATTTACCTGTTAATTTCCTGCAGCCTCTGCTTGGGAGAGAGAAACAAAGATGTGAGGAAGGGAGAAAAGGGGAAGCATTGGAAAGAGACAAATATTGTGTGTCCTTACACACTTTTGACAGAAGGCTGGATCCAAGAGGTTGCCAAGTCCCACGGAAAGAGGAGAGTCCTCCCAGCACTTCTATCCTTAAAAGAAGTAATGCAACCATTCCTGAAGATGTGAACCTCCCTAGGGCTCTGAAGAATATAATAGGATAGGCTAGTGATAAATACTTTCTTCTTGGCCTGCGCGTGTGGTTGTGGGCTTAGGGCTAAGCTCTCTGGGCTAACTTTGATTTTCTGAATACATTTAGGTCAAGTTTGGGCACTAAAGCATTTTTGGTTTTCCTGCCAAAACCAAGTAGGCAGAAGGGGAAAAAGAAATGCAATCCCATTATTTTCCTGGACCTCTTGCTGCTTTTTGATGTCATCAGCTATGATATACATTTAGAATATCTGTGATGTGGATGGAATAATTTGCTTTACCTATTCAGCAGTTCCTAGAAAGCTGTGCTGGAATATGTCTTTCAGTCATATTGAAACTATAACACAGTTTAGTTGGCCCTAACCTTATTCCTGATGCTATTTTACATTGACCTTAAACTGCTGGCTAAGCTATAAGATTCTTAGTGCACTGTAGTTAGTATGCAAATGATATGAATGTCAGTAAGCTTTGTTTGTTTTAATCATAGTTTGGATAAACTTGAATAACCACATATCACACTGAATCATAATTTGTTTTAAGTGTTGTTTGAATACTTTTGAATTAATAAGTTGCAATTGGCTGGATTCATAAACATGCTAATTTATAAACAAGCGAATCACATCATGGATTAGTGTAGTGTCCTCTTTTTATTTTATTTTATTTTATTTGAATTTACAGTCATTCAAAAAAGCCAGAGCAAGAGAGAAAAGAAAATAATGTTCAAATAAAAAACAGGATAAAAGCCTATTCAAAGCAGAAGTTAAGCATGACTGTATAGTATTATGTTCAGACCCAACAGTTTCTAACTGCCATTGCTATGGTACAGAATTTCCTAGAAATGTTGCAATCCTAACTGTTTAACAGGAAACATAAAATTGCCTGTTAGGACCCAGTAATTTGTGATTAGATTAACTCCATCCTCCAAGGGTAACAGGGCATTTCAAAAGTACCATCTCAAATTCAGTGTCTGAGCATATATGTAAAAGCTCTGAATAGGGGATATTATTGAATCTCCTGGTCAGTACCTTTGAGGGCAAAGTGTCTAAGCATGTCACTTTGAGTGCCCTCCTATGTGAGAGTGCAAGTATATGGGAAAAGTATTTGGGAATAGTGAAAGGTGGAACCATTGTAGCAGCAGTGTGAGGTGTTAGATCTATCCCTCTGTATATCAAGATCAAAGATTCCCTGTTTGACTTTCCTCCAGGCTTTGTCTGAGCCCAACATAGTTAGATATTGGGATAAGTAACTACAGTGGACCAATTTGGAAGTTATTTGCTTCTTCCATGGGAAATTATATTCGTTTATCAATACTAATTGGACTAGGGACTCATTCCCCTAGATTTGTTTGAGTCAGTACTTTAACTGACAGAGCTTCAGATGGGTCTTGACAGAGACACATGCAAGCTGTGCCCCAAATGGGGCTGTGATGAAGCCTACACACACTAGCATTATATTGCCAGACCAAAATGCTGGAAATTGATCAAAGTGGCTGTATTTACTAAGCAGCACGCTAGCCTTCATTATATTTGGACAATCAACATCATACAAATTGAGCAGGTGAAGACCTTTGGATAGCTGGGTATCTATTTTCAGTTGTCTATGTCCTGGAAATGTCAATCCTCAAATCTTATGCTCCACGCACAATAATCAGATACAGCTGTAAATGAAGTTGTAAGAGAAACAGCTATGTTCCTGCAGCTATTACATGTTTGAAAACTAAAGAACAAAGTCTTTTGCTATACTATATGTGACAGTGCTGTGGGTATGAAGATATCCTTGTTCTAGAAGCAGTTCAGTCCAAATTTCTGAGATCCTTGCTTGGAATTATTTGCTCCATTGAAATTCATTCCTCATTCTCTTAAAACCAGATATGAAAACCGATGAGCTGAGCTGTTTTGGGCTCTGATAACAGAGTGAATAATGTTTAATAACTTGGACTCAACCCCACAAGTAGATACTCATAAGGATAGCTTAGACCAGATATACGGCACCGAATCTGTTAGAGGAAGAGTAGTTAATTCATGTGAAGAATCAGATTTATAGCTCTGAAAATGTCTTGGGTCCACCATCTTTGTAAGCCCATTTCCATATGGTACTTATTTTCAGAAGTTTAGAAGATAATCCTGGAAGAAAAAGAGCTTTTTTGGAACATTTTCCTTAGTGAAGCTTACTTTCTCCAAAGGCTTTTGAGCTCTGCTTTAGAATCATTGTAACTCAGCTTTCTGTTGTCTGTTTCAGTTCCTGAAATCTGCAGTGCATTCTATACTATTATATTGCCATATGTCTATTAGATGTTTTATCAGTCTTGGGTTTTGTTTATAGATTTTATTTGTATTTTGTTGAGTTTTAATCTGCACAACAACTGGAAATAATTTATATATGGGATGTTTAAGGTGTTTAAATAAGTCAGTGGATCTTAGGTTCAGATGGTAAATTTGTTGAGTAAATATTTGTTGCAAGTTATTTATTATAGCATTGTTTCATTATTGGGTATGCATTAATTGTTTGGAGCTGCCTTAAAAACATTTTAATAAAAATCAGTTTAGAAATCAGCTATCAGCTATTGTACAATTTTAAAAAATCATGATATTTTTTGCTATCTTCCACATTCTGTAAAATAAAATTCAGATCATTTTACAGGACAATATCCCATGTTAATATCCCATGTTATCTCAACTGAGTTTAATTTTCAGCAGATGTATGTGTAAGTGTGTGTGTAGTAACACTGCACAATTCAATATTCTATCCTATTGTTTTACCTTTACTTCAAGGGATATATTCTGTAGTGGGATAATATAGCTTCTGTTTTTTTAAATCTTCAGAATTCTTAAAATTGGCTTGTAATTTTAGTAGGTATACGTTTGCAAATTTTACGTTGAAGTATTGTTATCCCCTTCAGCAATTATTTTCTTGTACATACTATATTGTATTTTAATATTATTCTGTTTCAACTTCCCATTTCCTAAAAGAGCTGAAAGTGTAATTTAGACAATTATAGAGTAGGCTAAGCTGGTGCATACTAAATAATGTTATTCTTAACAGTCTTCCAAATACAGGAAATCTTACAATTAGTTCAGATCTTGGAGTTTTTATATGCATAAAGAATAAGCAGATATAATTCTATAAAAAGAAAGGAGGATGATCCAACCAATATTAAATATTACCAAGCCTCACTGATTTCAGTTGCAATGATTTGAATACAAGTTTAAATTTTCCATTACAGACAGTGAGTTTTAAAAATACTTATTATTGGTAAACAGCAGAAAATAATATCTAGCTGCCTGAACATATATTGCAAAAGATCGTGTGATATTACTCAAGAGAGAAAGAGGGAACTTGGGTTTGCAGTGGTAACGTACAATTAAGCAGGATTTTTTTTTATTTTAAAGGTTAATCAAATCTTTATATATATATATCACATTAAGATCACTATATATATTTAGGTTTACATTACCACCTTGTAACAGAATATAGAAAATGTTGAGTTTGATTCACATTTCAAGTAAAAGTGCAAATGTTTTTCATAGGGATCAAAATTATTTGCTGTTGCTCTATTATCATTTATTACC